TTAGGGGTTTAGGGTTTCGGGTTACAGTTAGGGTCTGAACCTCATGCTGGCGAAGGTGCATCGACAGCATGCTGTTTGTCGACTCTGGTGCCGGCTCGTCGTAAATATCGAAACCAAGGCCTCAGCCCGACACCCTGCCAAGAAAAGCGCTGCCGGTACAAGCAAAAAGCTGCAGAAGAGCGCAGGAAAGCACAACAAGCATGACTTGAATAAGAGAGAGGGAGAGGGAGAGGGAGAGGGAGGGGCGAGGGAGAGAGAGAGAGAGGCAGAAAGAGACACGGAGAGAGACAGAGAGAGAAACGGGGAGAGAGAGAGAGGGAGAACTACAAGAGGACGACGACGGGATCCTGACGAAGCTCTCCCCCTTACTTGCAGGATCGGCCCTAAACCCTAAACCCTAAAAGGCCAAAACGCTAAAAACTAGACCCCAGAAGGGGCAAACCCTACACCCGAAATCTAGGGTTTGGTGTTTTGGTTTAGGGTTTGGGGTTTAGGGTTTTAGGGTTTAGGGTTTACGGTTTTAGGGTTTAGGGTTTAGGGTTTTAGGGTTTAGGGTTTAGGGTTTAGCGGCCCGAGCATCAGAAAAAGATCTGCTGCGCTCGCGAGTTGACGTGCAGCACGCGCACGGACACCGACTCGAAAGCCCATCCCGCGCTCAGGGCCTCGACAGGCAGTGCCGGTAGGGCTCCATGATCAGAGCATGTTCCGGGTGTCGTGGAGGATTCCGGGACTTCGTAAGCAAGCTTAAGCCGCAAGGATGATAACCCTGTTACTAAGCTCATGCTTTAAGTAGAGGGCTAGGAAGAGGGTCCGGGTGTTTAACGCTTGCGAGACATGACATCCAACGACTCTCTGTCTCGCTCATGCCATCACGAGGACAGCCCTCTGCTACACTGAGAAGAGGGCTCTTCAAGAATCCCTTAAACCCTAAACCCAGGGAACAACTCGGACGAAATAGTAACCAAAATCATATAATATAACAATAAAAAATAATGTAACCATAAAACCATAACAATAATATCATAATAAGAATCATAACAATAGTAAGCACAATACCATAGAATCATAAGTCCAATCCTTGTAAGACCGCCCGAAACCCTCGGAGCCAGGGTTCCACACAGTCTCTACTGCTCATGCAGGCTTGTGAGTCCCAGCACAGGGCTCAGGGCTTCATGTATAAGAGTTGGGGTTTGGGGTTTAGGGTTTAGGGGTTGAGGGCTGAGGGTTTAGGTCTTGCACCTGCCATGACATCACGAGGGTTCTGAGGACACACCCCCCAGCACCATTCTCCAAAATGATAACGGCTGCTACCGGTACTATTGATACTGATATCGACACTGACACCGGTACTGATGCTAATACTCCTACCTCCTCCTACCTCCTGCTCCTCCTCCTCCGCCTCCTACTACTGCTGCTGCTACGACTACTACTGCTGCTACTACTACTACTACTACTACTGCTACTAGTACTACGACGACGACGACGACGACTACTACTACTACTAGTACTACTATTACTACTGCTAGGTACTGCTGTTCCCCGGCCTGAGTCTCGGCAGCCTCGATCAGCAGCCTTCCCACACCTTTGCGCTGATGGTCACTGCGCACCTCCCGTGCAGGAGGCAGTCATGTAGGTGCCTTAATGATGCCGTGGCTGTTTGCTATACCAAAAAATACACTTGTAACAAGTTCCAAAAGCCGAAACCCGAAACCCCAAGCCCTGACACCCAAAGCCCCAAACCTGAAACCCCCTGAGCGACGTCGCCTTGAGGTGGGCAATCTGCAGCTCTTTCTCGCCTTTCTCCGCATGCACGAAGCCTACGACCTGCTTCGTGCGCTTGTCCCGAGCCACCTCAAGGTTCGGGCAGTCTCTAGGCGAGGTTTAGGGTTTAAGGTTTAGGGTTTAGGGATTAGGGTTTAGGGTTTAGGGTTTAGGGTTTAAGGTTTAGGGTTTAGGGTTTAGGGTTTAGGGTTTAGGGGCTCGCTACTCCGGAAATCATCCAAACCACCCAAGAATCCCGAGTAAGGAGAATGTGCAACTTCCTTCTCTACTGCAGTAGTATATCCAAACTAGAAGAAATCCTAGGCCCAAAACTACTCCAAGCCCCAAACCCTAGGGCCGACTCCCTGAAGTTTAACATCTTTGCATGGATTCTCGGACGCCCTCGAAGCTCCACCACAAAATCACGGATGCCCACTTCGTGAGCGTTGGCGAAATCGCCAGTGCCGACGGCGGGATGCCGACTTGTTCGTGGGCATTGGCGAAAGCGCAAATGCCCGCGAATACCATTAAAGGACAAAATGATCTGACAGAGAGGTTTAGGATCAAGCCGAGCCACCAGCACGAGTGAGCCTACTTTCCCGCGACTGGCGACGATGTCGGAATACTCTCTGAAAAACTGGCAATCCTTCTCGTAGGCCCCCCAGACGAAGCAGAAGTCCGCTGCTCTGCAAGACCGGACGAAGAGTTTCTTCTTGAAGAGGACGGCCTGGTCGGCCACGAGCATCTTCTCCAGGCCTCGCACCTCCTCCAGCGCGTCGAAGGTGACCAGTGTCACCTTGCTGGGTTCTTGGTAAGGAACTTATTTTGAGTTACCAATATAGGGATGTATAGAAAAATATTCCCCCTAAACCCTACACCCTGAACCCTAAACTCTTTGACAAGAACCCAGCCTTGTGGTTCATGCTATCTTCGATTATTTCGTGCTCTCCCCTGAGCTTCTCTCGAGCCAGCTGGGTCCTCCACGTCTTCGGCAACGTCGCTGGTGTTTAGGGGTTTACGGCTTATCCCTAAACCCTAAACCCTAAACCCTAGGTGTTTTGGGGTCCTCAAATTCTTCGGCAACTTCGCCGGCTTTGCTGCCCATTCCTGGAGAGCGCGGGGCCCCTCCGCGGCTGATCTTTGCTCTTCAACCTCCTCCTCCTTCTCATCCTCCGCCGCTCGCTTTCCTGGGTTCTTGTTAAGGAGTTTCATTTAAGGCACCATAAGAAGGAAGCCATATTGCTTACTATAGATCCGTATAAAAGTAACTGAAATTAAACTCCTTAACCCTAAACCCTATAGCTACCCCTTACAGTGAGGTTTCCTTTAAGGGCTCCTTCAAGCGTTCCCTTAAGGGAGCCCAGGTTCGCTTCTTTGAGTCTCCTTGCTGTGGCTGTGGGGACGAGGGCTTGGATGGCTCGGCCCACTCCTTGACGCGTGCCTGCACGGGCAGTAATACCCAGACCCCCGGGAGGATCCAAAAAGTAGATCCCTTAAGGGAGTTCCTACAAAGTACCCTTTAGTAGTTAGGGTCCCAAAAAAGGGGATCTACTTTCTAGATCCTCCCGGGGGTCTGGGTAAGCAAGTAGAGTGGGGTTTGGGATTTAGGGCTTGGGGTTTCGGGTTTAGGTCTGGGTTCAGGTTTTTGGGGTTTGGGGTTTGGGGTTCGGGGTGTGGGTTTGTGGTTTGGGGTACGGTGGAGCCTAAGAAGTAGAAGGGGTTTTGAAGTACATTGCAGCGTAATTCTATACGGACTACAAAGAAATATTCTCGGTAACCATGTAAGGGACCATAAGGGGGCGTGATAGTATGATCACGGACTGTACGGGGATCTACTGCCATTAACTCTATTGACTATTCCGGCCCCTTTTCTTGCCTGCAGCTCGCGAGCCACCTCGACCGGTGCGAGGCTTTCTGGCGACTCGAGGAACGTGTTGTTGACCCCGAGCGACGCACCCTGTCTAAGCAAGTAAATGACCTGGATTTGGGGAGTGTAGGATTTAAGGTTTAAGGTTGAAGCCCACATGACTTATCAAAAGGTACGTCCGTAGAACCACAAAAACCATCAAAATTTCCCAAAGTGCCGCCCTGTGGCCGTCTCGGTCTTCTTTTCTCGCATGGCGTAGAAAATGGGCGTCTCGCCCCAGATGTCCACTTGATGGACACTCATGCCCAACTTCTCGACGAAGTAAGCGCACAGCCTCAGCTACCCAGGCCCCCGGGAGGATCTAAAAAATAGATCCCCTAATTTGGGACCCTATACTACTAAGGGTACAAAGGAACTCCCTTAGGGGATCTGCTTTCTAGATCCTCCCGGGGGTCTGGGTAGGCTTCATGACTCGAAGTCCACAGCTCCAAAGCTTCTGCATGCAAACATTCAGCCCTGAGGATGAAGCCAACTTCCCACTCACCAAACTCGGGTTTAGGGTTTAGGGTTTTAGGGTTTTGGGTTTTGGGTTTATATAAAATAAAATCTCCAAATCTACCTCGAAGCCGAATTCTGAGATTGACGCCCATTCCCTCTCTACCCCCAAAACACTCGTCCCAGCCGCTCTTTGTGTCCTTGTCTAGCTGCGTAGAACCTGAGGGGGCTCGAGGCAGTGCCCTGATTGGTGCTATTGTTATTCCCTAAACCCTAAACCCTAAACTCCAAACCCTAAACTCTAAACCCTAAACCCTAAACCCTAAAGCTATTGCTATTCTTGCTCTTGCCAGCAGTGGTGCTACAATCCTTATGATGATGATCCCTGTTGTTACTATGGTGCCGGTAACACTTGCTTCTGTTATCTGTTGCCATTGTTGCGACTCTCAGCTTTCTGGTTTAGAGGCTGAAGGTTTTGGGGCTCTAGGCGGTTGCTGCGGGAACATAACAAAAACCTTCCTTATGTACCTTGCCGACACCAGGGCTTTGCAAGTCTCAAACCTCGGACCCTTAAAATTCGAGACTTCTAACCTTGATTAAGATAAGCTAAGACAAACCTTGACAAACACAAGATATCGCAAGAGAAAAAAGACCAAACAAATCCAAGTGAAGACAACATCTGCACAAGAGATGTCAATGCGGACTGCCAAACTTTTTTTGAAAGCGCGCACGGCGCACAGATGATTTTTAAGAAATATTGAAACATCTAAACAAGATTGCGAAAGATTTCTACAGATTCACAAGGCTTTAACGCTTTTCGGTGACGGGGGGAAGATGCAGGGGATGCGGTGCGGAGCCCCCCGGGGAAACGTGGCGAATGATTTGCATTTTCCAAGAATTCAACAAGACTGCACAAGATTCAACAAATGATGCAGCGCAGTTTAAAGTTCAAAGGCCCGTAGTTCTAGGGCCCGTCAGCTTCTTTCACTTTTATGGGGCTTCGGGCTCTGCAGGGCTGAGCCCGGTCAGAGTTGTGGACCACGAGCACAAAGTAGCAGGCGAGCATCAAGGCAACCTAATCTGGTGTCATAAAGGCCAACGGGGAGACATGCAGGCAATGAAAAGACAAAGTGAGGGAAGAAGGCAAATAGAGACAAAGAAAGACAAACGAAGACAACTGAGGCCAAGTTCTGACTTGACACAGGTGTGATTAAATTAAAGAAGATGAGTAAGATTAAGATTTGGTGTTTTGTAGAGTTTTGGAGCTTACAGGCCCGAGGGGTTTTAAGGCCCGAGGTTTGGGAGGGCGGCAAAGCACTGACGATCCTACCCTGAAGCGACCACCAGAAATTAAGGGCCTCCAAACCACTGTACGACAACAGTCTCAGAGGAGCCCGGCACATCACTCGACCCATAGAGAGCCCGCTGCCCCAGTCTGTCCGTGTGGGACCAAGAGACATCTTAGACAGCAAGGAAGGATATAAGCTATAAGTACCTTAATGGAGAGGTTAGAGATTCGATGTCCTATGATGCTCTGAGGTACAGGAAGCCTAGACCCAAATCCCACGCAGCCGAGAAACAGAGGGCTTTGCCCCCAGTCATCCCGCTTTGCTGCCGGCACGCGGACTCGCCTGGGCTGCTGAAGGTTTAGGTTTAGCCCAGACTCCAACCCCTCAATGCCCCTCAATACGGAATACCTCAAGCCGCAGGACGATCCCTGGCACTAAGATTGGTAATTACTTCAGGCCTACAAAGGTCAAGACGTGGCAGAAGACAGGGTTCGGCTAAGGTGTGCACCAGTTCTGTGGTCTGTTTTGCTGATGCCACAAAATACGCTGAGAAGAGGGCTCTTCAAGACCCACTCGGAACAATAAAACCATGAGGCAAATCCTTGTAAGACCGCCCGAAACCCTCTGAGCCATGGTTCGGTTCGTGCATTAGCTGAAGCACTCTTTGAACCATAACAAAATAGTATTGTCAAAACCCCTTGGAGCGTTATTGTAATATTCGCAAAACTAATTCCTGAGAACACTAGAGTTATGAAGTATAGACTCAGCTGCAAACTGTATCCTAGTCCTAGTCACTCATTCATCTTTAAGGGGCTTTAGGTTTAGGGCCCAGCCAAGCACTCCATCGCTCAACCCGTCAGCACGAGGCCTCATCAGGAATCGACAGATCTGTTCTGCATCCATCGCGTCCTGCACACCGACCCTTCAAGAAGCTTGCTCTAGGCTGCAAGACGGAGCGGTTTAGGGTTTAGGGCCTCTTTGACAGCATTGGCAGGTTGTCTCTCTTTGCTATGTCCCAGCCTTTCGTGTCCTGGGGCCCCGTCACCACACTTCCCCAGCCGCACCCTTTGATCCTAGTGTTGTCCCGAAAGCCTCTGCAGCACCGTCGAATCCATGTGATCTATGCATCTTGCGCATTGTGGCGATGATAGCTACAGCCAGGTTCTTGGGCGCAGCGATGGCGGGCCCAGGTGGTCCAGTTCATGTTGCCAAGGCCTCCAGCATCCATGATGGTCCCGGCAAATGCGCCCACTAAATTCCGGGTGAAATCCGTTACTATCCAGGCAAGTACATCCATGCCCCAGTAATCATCCACGTGACCAAAATATCCACGATCGACCCTGCAGTTATGCTGAGTTGTTTTTGTTCAGCCTTCGAAAGCAAACCCGCCGCCATCACATCAAAGCCCTCCTGCCGTGCAGCGGCAAAGTACAGCGCCGTCTGCCCGCACCTCACAGAACGAGGAGAGGGCAACGAACGCCAGTCCATAAACAGGCGCTTGCAGAAGTGGCAGTCGTGAGTGAATGCATCTTAGGACTTGCTGCGAACCGAGACGCAGCTTCCACTTTGGGTCCACCTGCGCAGCAGCGATCCAGGCCTCCTCCTCGCGACGCCGCAATCCGTGGTGCAGACGACCGAGACGTCCATATAAAAGTGGTAAAAAATGAAGCTCGCACTTTGCAGTGTGCTGCAAGCAAAGTGCTTAATTGGCAAGCAAACCAAAGATGGAAATGATGATGATGATAATGAGGATGAGGATTGTGATGCTGCTGATGATGATGAAGACGGTGATGGCGATGACACTGCTGCCGATGCCTATGATGCTTCTGATGCCACAGATGCTACTGATGCTGATGATGGTGATGACGATGTTGATCCTGATGATGCTTATGACAGATATGGTGATGATGAAGATGGTGATGATGAGGATCATGACAACATCATGATGCTGATGACAACGATGATGATGATGATGATGGCGATGCTAAGCATACTGGTAAATATGTTAATGGCAGTGTACATTGCATGATGCTGATAGCAGCTGTTGGTTCTGGTTTTGACTTTGACGCTTACGATGATGTTGATGATGCTGATGATGCGGCTGCTGATGATGATGTTGATGCTGCTGATGATGCTGCTGCTGCTGCTGCTGCTCCTGCTCCTGCTCCTGCTGCTGCTGCTGCTGCTGCTGCTGCCGCCCTAGTGATACTTGTGGTTTTCGACTGAACTCTGCAATTCATTAGAGAGTATCGTTACTAATATTTGTCTGACGAACTACCACAACGGCCGCTATTCCCCGAGGTGTCCCAGAAGTGTTCTTATTTCAGAAAGTCTGATGCCAAGACCAAAAACCTGCAATGTAGGCACGCTTCCCCTCCCCACTTCCCAGCTCCGGTGTGCCGTCGCGGATATTGATGAGGAGTCGAGCTTCCTGTCAAGACTGCTTCAAGGATTGAGACTTTTGACTGCGGCCCGCGCTACTTTGCAAGTCTGCCTTTTCATTTTGTTTAGAGGAAGCCAGCGCAAAGCTCAACTCTCGCACAGAAAGCTCCAATATAAGGGTCCTCAGAATAGGATACTTGTAGTAAGGAACCCTGCGGCACGCTGTGATCAAATACTCACACCCCTACAGTAAGCAAGTCGATGCAACCCTAAACCCTAAACCCCTAAACCCCTAAACCCCTAAACCCTAAACCCTAAACTCCTAAACCCTAAACCCTAAACCCTAGCGAGCGGGAGCCTGAAGCTTGGTGCCACCCTTCCTGGCGGCCACAAGCCAGGCAGGAGGCGTCTTCTTCGTCTTCTTCGTCTTCCGGATCGCCATGAGGCCACTCCGGAGATACTCGCCGAGGTGCAGGCTTTTGGGTTTCCGGATGATTCCTTGTTCATTGGAAACGGGGTTGAAGGGATATTCAGGATATTTAACAAGGAATAGGATTAGTCATAACCTATAGTAGTCGGTTAAGGGTTCAGGGTAGTAAGGCCATTGGCGCACAAATCTGAGCAACAGACAGGGAAGCTGCTGCTTCTCCGGCTGCGTACCCCTAAACCCTAAACCCGAAGGCCCTAAAGTGCTTTCAAACGGTTCTGGCTTGCTTGGGCTGCATGCAGCGGCCACGGACAAGATGCAGGCAGCGGCAGACAGGGCAAGATTTCCGGCCCTAAACCCTAAACCCTAAACCCTAAACCTTTCGAGGAATCATGGACCAAAAACCGGGGAGGTAGGATCACGGGTCCTTTATATAAGAACTACGATTTTGGGATTACCCCACCTACCTTCACTGAACCCTTAAAGCCTTAGAGCCCCTTTGAAAGAACCTAAACCCTAAACCCTAAACCCTAAACCCTTAGAGCCCTTTGAAAGAATTTTGTGTGTTTCGCGCCTTGCGGCATCAAAGTCTTAGGATTTTGAGTCTTTGGATCTGAGGATCTCAGGACTTTGGGCGTACATCTTGAACGGTGCATTTTAGGGTTTAGGGTTAAGGGTTTAGGGTTTAGGGTTTAGGGCGTACTGCGCGTGCTCTGTGTGCTTGGCTTTAGTGAAGGTTCGTTCTGCTGTTTGCTCACTAAGACGTGGCAATTCTCGTTGCGTTCGGACAGTTCCGGTTGCAAACGGCAGCAACGAACAAAACACCCACGGGCAAGATCGTGTGCTGCTTTTCCGCTTCATCAATCGTGCTTTGGATGAAGATCCTTCGCAGACAAGTCGGGGCACCACCCTAAAGCTGTACACCTTCCGAGCGTGCATCTCGGAACAGCGGGAATCTCCGACTGCGGCACACCACGCAGTTCAAGCGAGATCTGTGCTGACAGTGAGACGCTTGCATGGCCCGGCAGGCCCAAATAGGGTCCCCTTTTTAAGGGTCTCCCTAAGACTACCTCGGATTCTCTAGGATGTTAGACCCAGAGAGCCCAATACCCCATAATTAAGGAATATACCCTTAAACTATAAGGGGCTTCATTTAAGCTGCATTCCTTAATTAAGGGGTATTGGGCTCTCTGGGGGGGAACTTCCGGCACAAAGTCAGGATGCTCCAGAGTCAATTCTCTCGAAATGAGACCAGTATGCCCGAGACTGTAAAGCCCCACGAATAGGGTTTAGGGCGCAGGATAATAGAGTGCTGGGGTCCCCTTTTAAACCCTAAACTCTAAACCAGCCCTCTAAACCCTAAAACCCTAAACCCTATAAACCCGTAAGCCTCAGGGTTGAAAAGAAAAACGGAATCGCTCTCAAAACCCTCGGGCGTCAAGCATGCTCAGTCCTGCAACTCCCGGATGCCCTCGAGCTCAACCTGATTCGCCCGGGTGATGGCGGAAATTTGAAGTGGGTTTCGAGTTTAGGGTCTAGGGTTTAAGGCTTTAGGGCTTTAGGGCTTTAGGGTTTTAGGGTTGAGGGTTTAGGGTTCAGGGCTTTAGATTTACTGTAGGGGTTTCGGGCGCAGGGTTTAGGGTTAGGGTTTAAGATTTACTGCAGTGGTTGAGGCTTAAAGCTTCGGGCCTACCGAAAGTAAAGCTTTAGGAAAGCCCTCGTGCTTCGGTGACTCCACAGTTCAGCTAGGCCCCAGCACCCGTTAATAACGGGAGTCCCCTTTTCCGACGGCTCTGCTGTCGTACGGAGACCCCACCATAAAAAAGGGCATAAGGGTCTAGGGTTTAAGTTTTAGAGGTCGAAGCCCTCTGAAGAGAGGGGTTTTCGCTGAGGGTCATACAAAACCTTATGAACCCTCAAGTGGAAGTTAAGATTAGGGAGACCCTTGGGGGAGATAGACCCTCTCAATAAGGCCCGTTTTAAGAGAGCCACAATGTAGGGTTAAGAAGGGTCCCCTTTAAGGGGTCCCGAAGACTACTGAGGATATACCAACCTATAGAAGTCCCTAAACCTAAACCCTAAAACCCTAAACCCCTAAACCCTAAAACCTTAAAACCCTAAACGCAACCCTAAAACCCTAAACCATAAACCCTAAAACCCTGAAACCGTAAAACCCTAAAACCGTAAAACCCTAAGACCTTAAACCCTAAACCCTAAAACCCTAAACCCTAAACCGAACTGGGATCAAGGGGTCCTACCCGCAGAGCCAGCCACAGGGTTACAGACTCATCGTGCGTGCCCGGAGCTCAGGGTTGGGGGGTCCCAAACACCCATCCGGTGGAGGGTTTGGTGCTTGCTTCTTTTAGAGTTTAGTGTTTCAGATGTTCGGGTTTGGTTTTTGTATGTTAGGGCTTAGGGTTTCAGATGTTCGGGTCTGGTTTCTTGTTTAATTTAGGGCTTTTGGTGTTTCATATTTTCGGATTTAGTGTGTTTTATAAGAAGGCTTAGCGCTGATTATTTTTAAGGATCAGGACCGATACAGATTCGCAAATCATGGAATGGGGCTGTGGGATGCACTGTAGTACGGTTCAAATTGGGATTATACAGGATATCTACTACCTGAATTGTGCATGCCCCTGCAAACAACAACAACAACAACAGCAACAGCAGCGTGACAAGCAGCCTAACAACTGTTGACCCGCAAGCAGAACGTAAGCAGAGTATTGCGAGAAGCCTCATTCAAGCTTCTTCGGTTGGCCGCTTCCCCATTTGGTTAAGCTTCCACCAAACTGTCCCACAACAACATGCGTCTCGAAGCCTACATTTTTTTGGGATACTTTTGTTCACGTCGGGTGCGACAAAACAAGGAAGAGGAACAATGGCTAACTAAAGGGCTCCTTGAAGGGTTCCTGTAAAGGTTACTAGAAGGGTCCAATATAAGGTTTGCTCTACTATAAGAGCTTAGTAATGACCACGAAATAATTAGGGTAAAGTTATGCTTCGCCCAATGCATCCGAAGTTAAAAAGGGCAGAATTAAACCCTCAGCCCACCTTAGGACTTAGGGTGTAGGGTCTGTGCTTGTTTAGGGATCAACAAAAGGTACCCACACAAACTACATTCGACACCATAAAACCCCATGATTTAAACTTAGCACCCTATACAACAAGCCTCCAACGGCCCACGAAGCTCTCTTCGAATCAATTGAAAAAACATTAAGTTCCATGCCGAAACACGGAAGCTGCACGTTGCTCGGGTGTACGGAAGTCCGTCAGGTAGACCCAAACTTGCACTTCCTCCCCTGGTTGCTCAAAGAAGTAGCTTAAGATTTAGGGTCAGGGTAGGATGGCTGGGTCAAAGGTTTAGGATCGGAGAGGTCTTAGGATAGGTCTGTATTCGGGGCCGGTGCCGTTGGCTCAGATGGGTTGTTGAGCTATTGCTATGCCAGCTAGTGTCTCAGGGCTCTGCGTGAAAGAGCTGTGAGACTTCGTTCGCTGCTTACCCTAAACCCTAAACCCCTAAACCCCTAAACCCCTAAACCCCTAAACCCCTAAACCTCAAACCCCAAACCCCTAACCCCTAACCCCTAAACCCTACAGGCCTAGCGGTCTGGACTAGGCTTTAGCCTTTGGGCTTTGGGGTGAGAGCTTAGGACTTAGAGCTTCGGGCTTCGATTTCGGTCCAGGGTCTAGGGTTTAGGGCTTATAAGGCTTATAGGGTCTATAGGGTTTATAGGGTTTACAGGGTTTAGGGTTTAGGGAGCACTGCCGCGCTTGCTTTTGGGGGGCCCTCGGCT